ACTCATAAATAAAACTCGTTCATTCCTTTACAAATTTGGCATTATAATACAAATTTATATTTGGATCCAAACTGAGGTGTCGGAACATTGATATAAAATAAACTTCTTGTTTTTACTACTTTTACCAAAACATTCTTATGAAGATTCTAATCTTCAGATTGATGTTCCTAATAATATACTTTTGCAAGTTTTAAAGCCTAGAAATGTTACTATGAAATAGTGTTTCATGGCCGAAACGAAGTAAAACCTCTAACAGAAACCGGGAACCCCATTAGAGACTTCTATGAAATCGTCTCGGCGGCGAATGGAGAGATTCATAGTATTCCGGGCATTTACACTCTTCCTCGCGGCAAAGTTAGTCGACTGTTAATGTATGTGGTGTCGCTGTCTGTTGATCGTGTTGCTCTGGGCTCGACATCGAGCTCATGGGCTGTCGAGGATCCATGAAGCACCGAGTTCTTTATTTACTCTTTTATTTAAGATATTTGGGACTTTCATGGCTCAGGCCCTTTATTGATACTAACCGAGGCTTTCAAATGTAAGTCGCGTTCTGTGGGTAAGATACTCTGACGTGACATCAACATCGCAGTTAGGTTTTTCAGGGTTCGAACGATACTTTGAATCATTTCAAGATAATTGTGCTTGTGTCAACTGGCTGCCAATCGCCAAGCTCATGGCAGGGTTCACTGGTTACCAATGGGGGTATAATTCCCTATAATATACAAATACATAATAAACATTCAAGAAACCTGCTTACTAAAATACATCCTGAAATCCTTAATTCTTTAAATGTTTCAATTCTAAAATTGTTCGATCACAGAAAAGTTCAATCTTGATGCTACAATTTCGAAATAATTCACTTCTAAAATTCTTCAATGTCAAATTGATTCGACGAATATCTTAACCAAAGGGCACGACTTGTACCTGGCAGCCCCAGTTAATATCAAGCAGATTCTCTTGTTTGAGTCTCGCATGATACCGCTTACATGTGACTGTTAATTGGAACTTTAGCCAATTAAATCGATGATTCATGAATATACTACGAGCCACGAGGGATTGGGGGCTGTTCGTGGCGGATAGGGGTAGTAGAATACAGATAGCGACAGATACACCAGCAGGTACCTATTACAGGCAGACAATATGTATGTAACATCGACGGTAAGCGTCAATTTCATAAGTACTTTTCGCGAGGGAAGTATTCGTTTCCTTCCTGTTATTTATCGACGCTGAATTGCGTTTCTCTTGGACAACTTAACGACGGATTTGTTGTTGAACATTTAATTATGGGGAATTTACTGGAAAAAAGACACTGACGTTTATGAAGTTTCAATAAAAATTTCGAAACACTTCGTAACGGCTCGGTAGAATTAATTGAAAAAGTATTTCGTAAACTGTAATCAGCCGCAAGTCTAGAAACAAAACTTTGATATTCTACGTGTAACATTTGCTTGCTCTGTTTAGAAAAAATGACGTCTTTTATGTCGTGACTTTCATAAGGAATTTTGAATCCGTGAGTGAGTAATAATTGTTTATATGGAAAGCTCTCTTCAAGAGAAATTGCGTACGATTTTGAATCTGATATCCAGGTGTGTGGGAGTCTTAATTATGTTTATTGAGCGGATCCTCTGAACCCCTCCAGGCAGGTTCTGTTTACAAGGGGCAAAAGGGATCATAAACAATTCCTGGAAGGAATATTCGGTATATATCTGACACCTACTCGAATGGAGGAGCCATATACCCTTTATACGAACGATTCAATGGTCAAATTACTCGTAAAGTCTTCGTTAGGAATTAATTTCAAGCAAATGGATGCAAGTCCCCACTCCTCATTTAACACATTATTAAATGTATTTTATAGACAACAATCAAATTTGTTTAGCTATTTATACGAGCTTCACGAATGAGGATATTGAAATTTCCTTGGTGATGGTTATCAAAACACCTGTAATATTATAATCGAGTCTGTGAACAATTTTTTAGAGACTGCACTTTTCTAAGAAAAAACAAAATAGTTCTTTCTTTAAATGAAAAATGAATCTTTGCAGTATTACAGTTACTATTGTAATCATTTTGTTCTAATATGTTAACAATTTCCAAGGAAATCATTTATATTCTTACTTTCAATAGATACAGAGGGTACGAATATTTATGGGACTGACCGTATGTATAAACGGAAGCATGTGTATTTTGGAGCTTTTTAGTTGCCTAGTCTCCTTAATGAAGAGGACAATCATTTTATCTACAGCTGACTTGTCTTTTCAGAGCGTTCTTACTCAATTGTCAGGCTAAAACTAATGTTATGACATATTTTAAATATTACCAATGTTTGAGATGTCTTTTTCCGAGACTTCATTCTCAATTAAAGCTTCCCATGTTACACTGTTCAGATGATAAAACATACAATTATTTAAATCACAATTCTTCATCTGAATCTGTAAATATTTGAATCAGCATAAACATCCGCAGTCTCAACATATTCTAGCATTTTTTTAATTTGACATGTCCTATAAGACCGAATCTAGTGTCTTTTACTGAACGTCTCCTGAAGAGTGAAACAGTGTCTTTCACCATATCTTAAATATATTTTAAATTTGTATTTTGCAAAGTACACGATAATACCAATGAAATTAAATTTACGTCGTTAAGAGTCCAACAGAAAAGGAAACTGGTCGAAAAATTCTTACGAAATTGCGAACACTTGCATGGGGCACGCCTTCAAAACGTCAGGTAGAAATTCTGAAGGGCTGAGGGCTATGGAGTCTGGTGATGTATAGAACAACGAGAACGGAGATGTACATATCCGTATACAGGTACGCGTACACACGTCCTACATGAAAAAAAAAGGGTTGAGGAACGTAACAGAGGGAAAACAGAAGTTGAAAAACAGTGATAGATAGATAGATAGATAGATAGAGAGAGAGAGGGGGGAGAGAGAAAGAGAGAGAGAGAGAGAGAGATACAACAGTAATACGCAACGTCGCAGTTTTGTTGCTTTCTACCTTCAGACTCACTCACACACAAATCTCTTCCATCAGCGCGTCTACATGAATTTCACTAGACGGGAAAAGAGAAACACATTGAGTTCACACGTTAAATGATGATCAGTAAGAAATGTCGCGTTAGATCCTGAGCGAAACAGTAAATTTTTCGCGAACTCGAGAAAGATTGTCGATCGTTATTTTGTTCGCGACTGAGTCGAAACTACTCAGCCGAGGTTAACGAGGGTTAAATACCTTTTTGATGAGTCTCAAATTGTAGATTTCAACCGAATTACTTGTTAATTACCCAACTATTTCAGTTAGATAGTCAACAAGGTGGATAAGGTTAAGTAAAAATTTTGAAGTTGTAATATCGACTAGATAACGGCACGGATTTATCAATCACGATAAAAGGAACAGCAAAGTTTTATATAATTTTCTGATCAAATGAATAGATATAGCTGAAAATGCAATCCTCTTTTTGCACGCCAAGTGCTTTGATCGGTACACTATGTGCGCCGCCATCTTGTCAAGTCTACGCAATGTCGCGTGGGACTCCAAGGAAGAACTGCACTTTCAGTTGTTAATGTTCACTTAAAGGAAAAATTATATCGGTCTTTTCTGTTCCTTTTATCAAGATCTATGACTGTATCACCTATATATTGCACCCACGCAAGAAAAGTGACGCAAAACGAAAAATATAAATTTTATAAGAGGCAAAAGAAAATGAAGTCCTTCGAGAACTTTTTTTAAGCGTGTCACAGGTAAAGTAAATCTAAAGGAAATGATAAATCATTTAGGTTTACTTTATTTACAAGTAATTAGGTATTCATTGTGTTATGGGATTTTTTTACTCATATTGCAAACTTAGAATACTAGAAATACCGAAGTTGATCAAAGTAACGTTTCCTATGTAAAGTTCGATATTTATAAAACACAATCGACACATAGTAATAATTTTTCTATATTTCGATTTGTGTCACTTTTCTTGCAAAATGTGAATCGACATCGTTTTGTCAAAGGACTTTTAAACTTCGACGCTTGAATTCCTTCATCTCGAAAACGATTGGTGAAATGTCCCTAAGACGGTGGCGTTTCTCAACCAATTCGTCGAGACCTACAATTTCAGATGGCGGCTCATCAAAGTATATCGCGTTCTCACTTCCGATTCCCTCGTAGGTGAATAAAATTTATGCGTAACGAAATGATGTCTTAGCGTTTCCCTTGACATCGTATCAGCGACTTTCGCCAGTTTTCTCGTGATCGAGAAGAACGGTCGTAATGTTATGACTCGCGCGACGCACGGTGACACTTTTGTCGACGAAAGTATCTCGAGAACGCTCGTGAAATTTCTCCGGGATTTCGGAGGAATTTCTAGAGTGCCGTGCAAGCTTATTCGGCAAGACTTCACTCGGGACGTCAACGTCCCTCAGCGTCGTGCAAACACAATTTCTTGTTCACGTGGTACTTTTCTCAGCGCGGAAATGTAGATTGACAGAGACAGTAGCCGAGAACGACTGATTCAGTCAGCAGTCTGACTCGCGTTTGTATTCGAAAATTCACTCGAGTCTCTTCGAAAGAGTCTACAATGGGTCAACAAAGCATTTGCACACTCAGTTTTTTTTTTTTTTTTAAGATAACTGTTTAAGAAGTAAAGAAGTATAACGAGCATAATGTACATGTTTTGGTGCTCTATTATACAATATATTGTCTTAGAAAACGAAACGTTAATAAGCGTGCAAATCCTTTCTTTACCCTTGGTATATTCAGGGAATCCCATAGATATGTAGTCATCGATTTTTATCAAAGCCAGAGTCACCTAAAAGCATTACCTAAAGTCACCTAGGTTACGCTTGTAGTGTAACGGGGCTGGAATTTTGGCAAATTTCGAAAAATATATAGCTCGACGAATTAGTCGTTCGAAATCGTGAAGAGACACATCGAACCAGATGATACAAAATATTTAGACAACGGCGGTGTCGTTAGCTTTCTCAAAATGCATCTATGCTTCTGGTTACTTACCGACAATAATGGCCAATACGATCAGCACCATGATGCCCATGATGATCATCATCTGCGAATAAAGCCGAGCGAAACGGTCAATATTGAACCGATACACCGTGCGACATTTAATGAACAAAATTCAAGTATAAGGATAGAATTAGGAACAGAAGTATAGGATACAAATAATGTATGTACAATAAACTTAATAATGTAATAAGTAAACGATATTCATTTTTTGAAATATTGGTAAAAGAATGTAGTTTGTGACATTATCGATAACATTTACTTAATACATCAATTTATTGTTTAAATCAAGGATAAAACTAAAGAAAAAATCTATGCATTTTATTCAAAGACACTGGTAGTGTTTCTTTCTTTAATATCATTTTTATAAGTTGATTTGAATATTGCAGTATCTTTAAAATAGATGCGTAATTTAAATGTAATAATAATAATTTGCCTTAATTTTTTGTGTAATAAATTAAGAAATTTTATTAAATAAGTGAAATAATCACCTCAATTTTTATGAATAAAACTATTTTTATATTCTCTTTAAAAAAGTATCAAGAATATTATGCTAAAAATTGATCAACTTGAAAGTTATGAATTTTGTTCTGAATGCCTATATAGTCGTCACACTGTTCGATATAAAGAACATAAAAATGACTGATACCAATGAAACAGATATTACCTTTAGATTTTGAAGCCAAAACTTCCTTTTCAGTTTCCCTGCTTGTTGCTCAAACTGTGACGCTCCTTGCTGTAGCGCGTCTGAAGAAAGAAATTCCAAGTCGTTAGTTCGAGTATCACCATGATACCTGGTCTAGTCTAAGCTTGTTTTAGAACAGGACTTCTAACTTTTACAGTTTTATAAAAAGATTCAATGAAAGTGTTTGCGTAAATTTTAGTTCAACGAAGTCTCTACTGAGAACATGGGAGATTTCGTTTCGAAGACTTGTAGAGACGTGCAATTGAAAAAAAAAGATGTTGGTGTAAGGTTTTTTGGTTCCTTGGACATAAAATGCTACGATACTTTTATGACGAGGAACTGGAATGCGCGAGACAATGACGATGGATACACACCGAGGGCTAGAGATTTCACTGATGGCTTCCAACATCACAAGGGACTCCATTGTGTGTCTCTACGTTGAGACTACATTATCGTAATCAGTTGCACAGATGTGTAACTTACGCGACTTCAGAAAGATCATTCGAATCTCACGAGAGTGTCAATTATCGAGAGTATTTGTTTGCGATTTTCTTATAACTTTTACTATTTTAGTCAACTATCACCCTTCATAGTAATGAAACATACAAATTGGTTCCAACATTTTATTTTGACAACTTTATGTATTGTTTTAGAATGCTTGATTGGGAGAAGATTAAAAGTTGTATGATTTTCTATTACGAATGAATTCATTCTACGCCTAATAAAACGGTTGTGATATTGACAATTCAAACATTTTATTAATGTAATTTAGATATATTTATAAATAGAATATTTTAAAGGTTTTGAGCAACAAGAATTATTTGTTGAGCTACAGTAAAGGAGTACCCCTTTAATTAAAGTAGACAGTGACAAAAGTCACGATATAGTCAGACCACGTGCAGGGAAGATGGGTCGATAATGGTCAGCCTCGGAACAACTGCATCGATTCGCAAGAGTCACTGTAATTGACATCGGCGTGCACCGCTTTAATCCAGCTTTAATGCAGAAAATTAATGAAGTTACGTTTAGACGAACATGGCCGACTATTCGTGAGTTCTTCAATTTTTCGTTTCAATTGCATTTCTCGCATCGATTGAAAATCAGCGTGTATGTTTGCTTATATTTTATGCAACCTGGGGTCAAACTTGTTAAATTCTGAACGTTCATTTCTTTACAGTACTAACTTAAGATATATATTTGTAACTTTTACTGACTTTGTTCATTTTTATCAATCGTCTTACACTTTATTTTGAAAATTTGATATTCAGCAATCGCGATATTTAAAATGAAAATATTAATTGAGGAGACAGAAGGTGTATTCTTTTTTTAAGAAATTTCAAAAGAATTAATTTTATGGGAAGGGATTCTTATCGGTTGGAAGGCGTTTCGTTCTAGGGTCAACCTTATTGATAAGACCTAGAACGCTTCCCAACTTAGAAGAATTCCTTTATATAAAATTAATTTCTTTTTGGATTTTTTAAAAGAAAGATTGCACCATTTACGTCGCTAAGTGACCTTACCATCTCACAGAGCACAGTTCAATTTATTCAATGTCATTATAAACAATTTACACATCACGTCAAATTGACACCTTTGGTAGGCAGTATTGTACGTCTCGTTGTTTAATGAAATAGAATCCTTTAACTTTTTATTCCCAACTAATTTCAATAATGTAGTCGTAATACTACGTGACAGAGATAATTTGCCATCCCTTTCTTTGTCGTAAAAGTAATATCGTACATACAGTCACTTGAAATAATTATTTCAGTATTACGAGAAGTTTAAATCATCTTCTGTAACTTCTTTAAAATAAAATTACACGAAAGAATGCTTGTTGAACTTGTTAACCTCTTCAACGCAGACAAAGATACAATGTCTCCAATTAAATTTAACTACTAAATTATATATTATAATTTATATTAGATGTAGAAATTAATTCCGCGCCGTTACATTCGATGTATGGTTAAATAGAAATAGTATACATAAAAATATTAACTCGCAATTTTGTCTTTACAACTACATCTGCTTTCTTGAAATATGTAACTAAGATAAAATTAAAAGTTATATGTTTTTCTCGTATATAAATCAAAGTTTTCTTTATAAATAAATCGCAAGGTTATTTTAGAAAAGCACAGGATTAAGGTGTACACTTAATAAAGTAAAAATCTAATATTAAAAATTTTTTAAGTACTATTCTGGACTCTACATCTAATAAATGGAAAATTTAGTATTAAAAATTGAAAAAGTTCTATAAAGGTGAATGATTAAAGTGGATCCGCTCCATTTGATCTCACCTGCCCGATCATCGAGTTCTGAGAGCTTTTGATCACGTTCCAGGACCTTCTCAACGTTCGTTTTCATAATGTCGACGACCTCGTCGACCTGCGCCTGCGTCGCCTGCAATCGTTTCTGCGAGGCGATTTGCTGAGGCGTCCTGGGACCCCCGACGATCTCACCGGAACCTGCACCTGCTGCAGCCGCATCCGCTGTTAGACCGCCCTCGGTGGCCCTGCAAGTAATGCATTTACACGATGAGTGAATTCTATAGTGAAATATCCAATCTTTCCTTCGAACCTGTGTCGTAACTTGGAATTTACAACCTTCTGACATATTTAAATTAATGTTAAGGGCGGACGCTCGTACGAAGATCAGCTATCAAAAATTATGAAAGAGGAAAGAGCAGGAAAGTAAAGATGATAGGAAGATTTAGGTTAGGGAGATTGAAGTACGAAGGAAAAATAAAACGAAGTAGAAGAAAAAATTACTAAAAGAACGCAGGAAAGAAATGGATAAGATAAAACGGAAGAACACAAACTGGGGAAAACACGAGAAAAGCTACATGCAGTATTAAGGGACAGATGGGAAGTAGAAGAAAAGACGAGGAGGGGAAAAATGTAATAGAAGAATGGAAACACGGAAATGAAAAGAACCTGCTAGAAGAAAGGAGAGGAAAGATAAGAGATTCAAGATACGTAATAGAATAGTTGAGATGAGTGCAGAAAGATATAGCAAAGCTTTTACACGAAGGACGAAAGACCGGGAAAGTAAAGATAGTAGCAAGATTTAAATTAGGGATTGAATGGACAGCAAGTAGATACTGGATGAAGGAGAACATGATCTGTAGAGTATGCTACAAAACTCAGGAAACAGCCTATATTAATAGGAAGGCTGGAGATGAACAAGCAAAGCTGCATCGAAAATGAACAATAGAATTTTTGGACACGAGCTTGCGTTTTCGAGAAAATGAATTTTAAAAATTCTTGGTACAGAACTTGTCGTATTTGGCAGTGATATTATTTTATTTTTGATTTGAAATGCTTTTAACAAGTTAGATCGTTACAAAGTTGACGATGCTGTACCAGACTCCATCTTTACAGAGAATGCAAACGGTAATTCAAGTAGAAACTGCGAGTAATTGTCAGATGTATCGCCAATTTGCCACGTCTGGTCATTAGTCGTTGTTTCTACTCAGAATTACGTTTTTCCGAGAGGGGCATAGTAATCCTATTTTTTTATGGAGTTGGTTTTTAATGCATTTGGAAATCATTGTTTTACAGGACAATGTTCTCAGACATAAAAAGTATGAGTGTAACTATGCATATTTATTTCTTTTGCCTGAAAAAATTGTACCCTCATGACACAGGTACGAACTATACATAAAGTTTCAACACGGGACAATTATTCATAATACATAAAAAAAAAACTGCTATAATCCTATTATTTTCTTTGTATTTTAGAAGCTAAATTTGTCGACGTTAACATTATCCTAGTTCCTTTACGAGTACTTTCAGGGGCTGTAGCTATGTTTGATTGTAGCTACAGTACGGGTGTAGCAATCCCGAGGTACCCGAGCTACAGGGGAGCCAGTGGGCCCCAACAGACTAGTAGCATTTTTAATATAACAATTATGAATAGAGGCAATTCAGCAAATGCAAATGCAAAACAATGTACAGTAAGAATTAAATGAAATGTAACGATGTCTGATAGAAGACATGAAAAGCAATTAATAAATGTTTAATTAAGAAACATAATTAAATTAAAATAATATTTATACAGATAAACAGATTAAAAAATGTTAAAATATTCACTTGATTACGTAATATCGTCATCGAGCAATATTAAAATACAATACCTATGTTTCTGATGGGTATTCTCGAGGGTCGAATTCACAAAACAATATACCAAACCCTAAAATCTAAACTCTCCAAGCTATAAACCAAGCTATAAACTCCAAGTTAAACTTGTGAGAAATCGCGACAGAAATTTTGGAATTTCCCTGAACATCTGAACCGTTATCAATCTTGAGCGAAGGCGCGTTACAAAGCATTCTTCTCGGTGAAGTCTAATCCCCGGGAAAAGGAAATTGAATAGCGAATGGCGGAAGTGCAAGCGCAGTATGGCGCAAGATGCACTCGTTGGAGGATTAAACGCGGTTAGAAATCTTGAAGTGGGCAGGCTGTGTTCTCACGAGGGGTTTAGCATGAGAGTTCGTTGAATGCGAATCCAACCTCAGGGACGATTAATTTGATCGCTTGTGTTCCTCCATTTTTCTGTCGTATGTTCCCAGACGACGCGGCGTAGAATTTCATTTTTCATCTGTGGTAAATGTCGAGAGAGACTTGTGATAATATATTCCCTTACGCGTGCATAGAAATTAGGATGGAAGGTAGGTTTCTGAACTTTTATGCTGATTGCCTTTGGATCAAAATAATGAGAAATGTAGGTTTTGGTTTTCGTTTTGGATTAAATTAATGAAAAGACAACATGACTTCTATCGTACAGATTGTAGGAAAAAGTTGTGCAAATGTTCAAAATTGTATACTTTGTTAATTTATGACAAAATTTATAGGAGAATATGGATGTCAAAGTTTGTTGTTAAAAAAGAATATATGGCAAGTTTGAAGGCTGTATCTCGACTTGGGAGGTAATATTTCGAATTGTTATTTGGTTGTTACTAAATTAATCAAATGAATTTGATACGAAATTTGAATAAAAATGCAGAATATAGAATATTAAAAAAATGTGAATGATTGTACTCAATACAGGAAAATTGCTTTTTTAAAATTGTATTTGTTCAATGACGTATATAATCGTTCACTCTATTTTTAATGTGAATTTCCATTATTAATTATCAGTTTAAATTAATATTATCAGCAACAAGTTTTCATTTAATAAGTAAATTCAATTCTTGCACCGTTTTGCATTTTCCAATATATAAACTGTTTATTTATTTATATCACAGAAGTAACTTTACGAATGAAGCAAAAAGATATGTAGTTCAAACTGGAATTTCGTATGTTTAATATAATAATAGTGAAAATAAAAATTCGTTTCTGAGGACAGTCTTAGTAAAAATTAGATAAAATTGTTAACTTGATTAACTTAATTGTTAAATAACTAGAAGGTTGCTGTTTCTTAAACAATTTAAAAAACAATAAAAAGATCATGTAAACCCCCGTTATTTTTGCATGGAGTGCAAAAAGTTTTACATTTAATAAAATGCTCAACATCGAGTATAAAACTGATCGATTTGGTGTAGTATGACCCATTCATAATCCATTATGAGAAACTTTCGGGCCATACTCTTCTGTACTAATACAAAATTCATATTTTATTGATCGTCATTATCGCTTTAGGGAAAGCAGCCTTAAATTGAGAGTTTTTGGAGTTTCCTTGTAACGCATTAGAGAGACAAAGAACCACAAATATAGCAATAACAATAAAATTGGCAAAATAAAATACAGGATTGGCCAAGTAAGTGTAACAAGGCATAACTTCGTTATCACTACATTTATTGAAAAATGTCAACAGAAAAAAATGAATAGTTCAAAATGTACAATATTTGTAGAACCTTCTTTTTGTTTTTATAAGTGCAATAGTGCATGTGCTATTTTTTTTAAATGGATACGCATATTTTTTTGCATAAATTGAATCCTTTCGCCATTCTACGTACAGCAGTATTAGAATAAAGTCCAAAAATCATTAATTCATGAGATATTTTAAACGAATGTTTGTAATGCTCGATTGCACATGCACCATTGCACTTATAAAAAAGAAATATGTTCCTACAAATATAGTGTTCTTTTAACTATACATCTTTTCTCTTTGACATTTTTCTCTAAATATACAAATAATGAAGTTATAGCTTGTTACACTCACTTGGCCCACTCTATATATATATATGCTGAATACAAATTTGTGTTCCTTCTTTAGCAGTAAAAATATAAAAGGTAGCGTAAATAACCTAAGACTTTTTCACGGTACCGTATCCAAAACTGATCGCTTCTTCTCGTTTTCGAAGAATATTTGCTATTCGTTGAAAACCAGAGCAAAACCGTTGGAAGTTTAAAGGTTAAGAAGCGTGATATTTGATTCGACCTGGACGAAGATATATCATACGTAAATACGGTTGACCTTTCGCACATGGAACAACCTTTCTTGGAACAACGACGATGTTAGTTTAATTATCGTGGGAGTCTCGAGTCGACGACGTAACGCATTCTATATTACTTTCGGCGTGAATTTCAATTTCTCAGAAACACGCACCACGCTTGTTTCAGCTTTGTTGATCTATTTGCAAATTTACGACCAACTCACTCCGATATTCGTTGTTCGCAACGATAATTTACGATCGTGGGAGGCTTCATTGTTGAAATAAATTTGTCACGCACCAGATGCATGATGAAATTATGAATAATGAATGTTGTTAATGTTTAACCACCTGTAGAGCCAACAAAGTTAGTAAACGAAACGTATTAATTAATTTACTGTTTGTTAATTTATTAATGCTTGTTAATAGTATTCTATTAGAATTTGTATAATACAAATTTATACAATATGGTACTTATGGGACTGTTGATGTTTATGCAATTTCATACTTTTATTTAGACAGATAAAGAACATTACTTTAGATCACTGTACTTTTTAGAATTAAAACATGTACCATATTAATGTGAGAGAACATGTTCGTATGTTAAAATCAATTTACACATAAACATTGCTTTAATTTGTGTGTATTCCAGTAGAGCAAAAAGAATCTGTTTAAAATTCGTCCCACAAGAGGTTAAAGTATGTTTTTTCCTTTCTTGTATATTTTTATATATTTACATTTGTCATAAATGCATAACGTGTATCTTTGTATGCAGTTTATTGCTAAAAATAGAAGATATACAACCCAGTCCCATAAGCATTCGTACTAAATCGAGGAAATTTGTTTAGAAGTAATTAAAAGAGATATTATCTGAATTGGTAAAAAATAATGACAGTTATAGTGAAGTCACAAACACAGATTTAAAATTTTATATTATTAATGGTATTAAATGGGAAAAGTGAAAAGCAGTGAAATCATCGAAAACCGCGCCAGGAGTGTGTGTGTGTCTATATTCTTCTAACACCTGATAAATTTACCTATCTGCAATCGCCAAAAGTACACACCGAGCCTATTTGATACCTCTTATCAATACATATATTTCAAACGACCGAAACGTAAAACCTTTTATATCTCGAAAC